CACAAGAAGACAATCACCCCTCCGTCCTGTAGTTGCAGATTTCGACCCGAAGAAAAAGTAGAAGCCGACGATTGTTCTCTTTTTCTAGAGCCTAGCAAATTTCTGCTTTCCTCTATATCTGCAGGGCCACCCTCCAAGAACTCTCGGAGCACACCCCATCACACCGGTCAAGAAGCTGCCGCCCCCATCTCCTTCGCCTGCTGAAGACAAGGCGCTGTGCCAGGATTCGACGGGCCACGTGGGTGCCGAGAAAGGTCAGCGGACGGTCGCGTATGCGGAGAAGGGCGCCGCTGTTCGGATCGACGAGCAGGAGACACCGCGGGCCGGAGCGAAGGTGCAAGTAGCGGGAAAGAGAGTGGTGAATCTGAAGCACGCATCGGCGAGCCATGTCGACGAGGTTGCTGTGTCCACGCAGGTGAGGATTGATTGGCTCATAAAGGTATCCCAATCTGTGGACTGAACCTCTATCGATATCCTTCCTTCGTGATGTTCATCTCGTAGATAGATGCTTCGTAGGTGCCTAGTCTGTCATTGTAGAGTTTCTGCTTGGAATGGGAAAAGATGGGAGGTCGTGAGTACCCCTTCAAGATCAGCCCGTGAAGTTGTATCCTTGAATGCGATGATACATTCGAGCCAGCTTCATTATCATTTCTCCCGCTTCATTTTGTTAGTTTCTTCTTTTCGCCTCAGCAATTATGTACACGCTGTCTGGAGGCCTTGTCACTGAGCTTCCTGCGTCACAGAAACTCGCAACTTTTCCTTGTACGTCTCTTGCGCCGAGTAGCCCCAACGCCACAGCAGTCCCCACATGGCTGGACTATGGATCATTTTTGTTCACTATGGCCGTTCTCCATACTCACCATTGCCCAAAACATGACGACCGCCGGTCTTATGCTGGACTTTCTTCCCAAATCCAATGCCCCTGCCGTCAAAATTACTACAGGATGTCAAAACAGTCTTGCGCATATTCACTTCTGATCTCAGCGCATGTCCTTCTTGCAGCTGTTGCCCGCCACCTCCCACTCTGTCGCCGACGTCTTCAAGATTGGAGCGCCAGAAGCGCCACCACATGGCGCCGGCCTGGAGGGGTCCGCAAAAGGTGCGTTCCCGTCATCTGAGAGCGAACAGACGACGGGAAGTGTGCCTGCCGGGGAGACGTCTAAGGGAGCGGCGGGAGACGGAAACAAAGCGGATACGGTGCCAGAGAGCAAGAAGGAGAACGAGAGCGCGCAAGCTTCACCTCAGGCGGCCAGCGACGAGGAGGTGAGGCACCTCGTAATGCGGATTTACAGACGGACTCAGTGGTATCTGAATTTCCCAGGTGCTAAATCCTGAAATGTCGTTGCGAACATATTGCAGGGTCCGAATGTCAGCTTATGGAAACACTTCCAGGAGGATGGCTTTTCTTCGCGCACCGTCGGCCTCCTTTCACTTCGAAGCGATTGAGACCCGCCCTTGAGACACGTGAGAAAGAAGGCTCAGAGCTAATGAAGGAGCCGTGCCTTACGTGTTTTGTCTGGATGCCACTTGAATTGAAAGTGTCATTGGGATTGAAAAGGGACTTTCAGAGCATCTTTCTTGCAGCCGCAAAGGCCTCCGCATCGTCGTCCACTCCTAAGTATACAGCGCTCATAAGGTGTCCTCCGTGCAGGTCGCCACGTAGCAGCCTGCCGCGGCATTGCCCGAGACGATGACTGTCGCGCAACTGACTGCCGACGTGGAGCGCTTCCGGGCAGCGCTGTCGCGGGCTGAGGTGCGCAACCGGGAGCTGGAGGCGCAACTTGCCGAAGTGCAAAGCCAGCTGGCGGCGTCGCGCACCGACAGCAGACTCGACACGGAGGGCCTGACAAAGGCGGTTGCGGCGGCGCAGGCGCGCCAGGTTGCGGCGGAAGAGCGGGCGGCGACGCTCGAGGACGAGCTGCGGACCGCGACGCAGGCCGGGCAGATCGCACCGGCACAGGTGAGGCAATCGTGTAACTGTCGTGGCATTTGAGCCGGAAATGGGCGGCTTTCTGAGCGACCTACGTAGGGGCTGTGTCGTCTTCTGGTGCTGCAAATCTCGTTGGGTCCTACCTTAGACAAAGAGACTCCTAGTAAGCTTCTGCTTTCTGAAAAACCGACAGCCAGGCCTCGTTCCTGTCCCGTTCCAACTCTGAACATCCTACTCGTATGTTCTGAAGAGTTGACCTCAGCGAACACGCTGAAATCCAGAATCAGCTCTAACAATCTACAATCTTGCTCTGAACGAAGCGGTCTTCGGAGTCAGATTTACCATTTTCAAAATCGATTAAGAGTCTGAAGGATTTCTGAATCTTCTTATCTCCTGGCCAGGAGGTTCAGCTGAGCGAGCTCGGTGCGCGCGTGCAGCAGTTGGAGTCGGCGCTGCAGCAGCACGCGGCCGCGCTTCGGGCGTCGGAGGCACGGGAGCGGCTGACGGCGGACACGCTACAGCAAGCGCTGGCAGGCAAGGAGGAGCAGCTGGCAGGCGTCAGCAAGGAGGCGGAGTCGCTTTTAGAGGCTTTGAGGGTGACGGTTGATGACGCCGAGAAGGAGCGGGAGGTAATCCGGAAACTCGGCAAAGTGGAGGGGCGGCTACACGAAGAGCGGAAGAAGAGCGCGCGGGCGCGGGATGCGAGCGCGGCCCGCGTCGCGGAGCTACTCACGAAGGTTGCGGCGGTAGAAGACGAGAATGCAGAGGTGAAGCGGGAGCTGGAGGGGAGGATTGGGGAGCGTGAGACCGCGGCCGCGGAGGCGCGCGCGCGGATCGCGCTGCTCGAGGACGAGAGCGCGCGCTGGAGGCGGGGGATAGCAGAGAAGACGGCAACGGGCAAGCGGGCAGCTGCAGAGGCGGGGGCGGAGATCGCGGCGCTCAAGCAGACGAATGGACGGCTGACGCGCGAGCTGAAAGAAGCTCAGGGTGTGGTGCCGGAGGCGTTGTTGCAAATTGAGAAGCTGGAGGGTCAGCTGGCGGCGCGGGGGGTGGAGGTGAGAGATCTGAGAACCGAAGTAGCGGAATTGGAGGGCCAGATGGCGGAAAAGACGGGCGAGATTGCGAACGGGCGGGCGAAAATGGCGGCGCTGCAGGAGGAGAACGCGCGGCTCTAGCGAGACCTCGAGGAAGGAAGCCGGGAAAGAGGAACGGCGGCCGCGGATGCGTACGGCAAAGTCGCAGCGCTGGAGGATGAGGTTGCGCGTCTGAGGTGGCAGGTGGAGAAGAGTAGCGGCAGCGAGGAGAAGGCGGCCGCGGAGGCGAGCGAGACGATTGCGACACTGAAGGCGGAACTCGCGGGGCGGGCGGCAGAAGCGGAGAGGCTGAGCGAGGAGCGGACGGCGTGGGTTGAGGAGCTGGAGGGGAGGAAGAGTGCAATGAATGCGCATGAAAGCGCGGGAGTTGCTTGGGAGAAGGAGACGGCCGACAAGGAGAAGGAGATTTGTGCCCTCACTGT